AAGATGCTGCTGCCAGAGCCGCGGGGCTTGCTTGATCCCGTATAGGGATTTTATCAGCTGGCATACTTTTGAAGGGTCGTCGATGAATCCGTGGGGTTGCTCGACGAAGATCTCAGCGTCCACAGGTGCGTACAGGAAGGCATTTGCGACGTCGATTTAGCGCAGTGGTAGTTTCTTCGTGGCCGCGACGGCGAGTAGGATACGCAATTAGGTGTGACGGGAGACTGGGGCGAATGTTTCTGTGTAGTCGGTTCCGTATCGTTGATCGAACCCTCGTACGACCCATCGAGCTTTGAATCGTTCGATGGAACCGTCCGCATTGGTCTTGATGCGGTACACCCATTTTCCCGAGAGGACGTTCTTCCCGTTGATGCTTGTTGCAGGTACTAGCTTCCATGTATTTCGGTCTCGCAGAGCCTTTAGCTCCTTTTCCATCGCCTCCTTCCATTTCGCCTTATGTTCCCCCCCCAGAGCCTGCGACAGAGTTGAGGGCTCGCGCGGAGATGGCGGCGGCGGATGCTGGACGGAGACCCATAGGCCGAGGATCTGCAGTCCCGTGGGTGTGTGTCGAGGGGAATTTTCATTCCCGGAATAGGCTGCTTCGTCACCATCTTCTGGATCAGGTACAAAGTTTGGGCCGATGCGTTCTGAAACATTCGTGTCGACCGGGTGGGGTGTAACGTAACCTTGGTCAGCGAAGTGGTAAAAGGTGTCGGGGTTGTTGCTATCGAGAGGATTGTCTTCGTCGAGTGGAACAGGTACGGAACAGAAAGGGAGTGGTCCGGCAGCTTCCGAGGCTCCAGGTACGTCTTCTTCTGCTGCGTCAGCCTCGGCAGCACGGTCGGCGAAGGAACGAAGGCCCGCGAAGCCGTCGGTGGGGTCGTGTGTGTTGGCAATGTTGTCCAGGTAATGCTGCAGCGTCAGTCGCTCGTAGAAGATAACATCACGTGATGCCACCGTATTTTTGTCTTCTATGTCGAGGATCTTCCATGCGTGAAAATGTTTTGCGATGCCGAGGTGTAGTCCCCACCGAGCTCGTTGAGTGAAGCGTCCTGCTCGGGCTATGTGGGGTCTGTACTGTACCATGCAGCCGAAAACTCGAAGTAATTTTGTGCTGCCCCTTTTTCGTGTCCACAGCAGGTGCGGTGATGCGTTGTTGGGAAGCGATGACGAGGACAACAGGTTGTGCAGGTGGACTGCATGTGTCATCGCGTCTGGCCACAGTGTGGTGGGCAGTCTCATCCCCAGGAGCAGCTTTTGCATCGTCGTCTACAAGGTCCGGTTCATGCGTTCTGCGACCCCCTGCTGCTGGTGAGCGTAGGGCAGAGACACCAGGCGTCTGATTCCCCTTTCCGCCAGATAGGTCCTGAAGCGTTGTGACTGGTATTCCAGTGCACCGTCTGACTGGAAGCTCTTGAGCTTGGTTCCTGATTCTCGTTCGGCGATGGGTAGCCATGTCGTGAAGGCGTCGAAGGCTTGATCGCGCGTCTTGAGGTTGTAGTGCCAGACGTATCTTGTTGCTGCGTCGATAAACGTGATGACATATCGCTGTAGACTTTTTCCATCGGTGCGTATGCAGGTGCGCTTGGGTTGTGATGAGATGGGAAAGACTGGTGGGGAAGATCGGCTTCGGGGCACGTAAAGCACCGTGCGCGTGGTCGTCGAAGTTCTTGGCCGCTCGTTGTTAGGAGAGCGTTGCGTTCTAACACTTCGGCTTGGATGGTTTGCAGTATTGTACTGTTTGCAGGGTGCCCGAGTCGTTGGTGCCAGATGTCGTCGGGAGCGCGGTGGCCGGGCGAGCGGTGGTATATGTCGGTGTTGGAGAAGAACGCGACGACCGTGGCGGGACTTTGACTGACTTCTCGTGTGATGGGCATAAGTTGATCTGCTTCGGTTGGCGGTCCTCTGATCGCTGGTGGTTGTACTCGGCTGGGTCCTGCTGCTGCTACTGTAGGTGATGGTTGGGAAGGGACACTTGCTGGTACTTGTCTTTCTTGTCTGATGACTGCTAATGCTCGTGTTCTCTCTGCTGCAGGTATGGTGTTGGAGTGCCAGAATCCGTCAGGGTCGAAGTCGGGGTCAAGATCCGGCGGGTGTGTCCAGGCGGCGAACGAAACGATTCCGTCGCTGTCGGCAGTACTGCGGTCGGGGACGAAGTCCAACACGAAGACGCCGGACTTCAGGAGAGCACGACCGATGAAGAGACCGCCCTTCCCGTGGTAAAGGCGAAACTCGTTGGAGTAGGAGTCGCACTCCAGGTGAATCTCTTTTGCCATTAGCTGGCTTACGCTTAGTAAGTTGTATCCCAAGTTGTCGACGATGAGGACCTTGTTGAGTTGAAGTATAACGTTTGTCTCCATGGATTGTAACTGAACCACTCCTTGTCTGTTTGTTTTCAGGTTCTCGTTGTTGGCGACGGTGATGATGACGTCGCGGTTGAGGCGTCGCTCTCGTTGCACGAAGCGTCCGGAAGAGCACATGTGTTGACCGCAGCAGCTGTCCAAGAACCAGGTGTTTCGTCCGGTGGGTTCGGCGTTGGCGACCGCAGCGTATGTCGGGTTGACCTGAAGTCCTTGTGAGCGCGGCGGCGGGAATTCTTCTTCGTCTGGCGCGTAAGTGGGTGGTGATTCGGGTGCTCAGTTGTCGATGTGTACCATGCAGTTGATGATGTTTGGTGTCCCTTGTGCAGATGTGGAAGAACGCCTTGGAGGACTTTCTTGAGTGGAGGCGACTTGAGGGTCTACTGGACGATAAACACGAGGACGTGTGCAGTTGCCTTTGGAATGTCCGGAAGTCTGACAGTTGTGGCAGAACGGCGGCACGAAGGTGAGTCCTCTATTGTCGCGTTGATCTTGCTTGCCGCGTCGATTGTAGTTGTTGTCGTTCCTTCGTTGAGTGTAGAAAACTAACTGCTGCTGCTTCCTTGGTTGTCTTTCTTCGAACAGGTCCATCTCCTGTTGTTCAGCATGAAGCTCGGTGCAGAGGTGCATTTCCGAGATCCTTCCGTGGGCGCGAAGAAGCGAGCGTGTGGTTCTCCATTCTGGCCCGAGCCCGGCGAGGACAAGCGTCACGAAGCTTTCTTCAGTGATTGTCCCTCCGCACCGAAGCAGGCGGTCGCGGAGGGTCTGGCAGCGACTCATATACTGCATCGCCTTTTCCCCGGTCTTCATCTGTATTGTTGTCAGCTGTTGCATGAGTATGCTTTGTGTCACGCTGTCGTTTGCTTGATAGAGACACTTGAGATGATGCCATGCGAGTTCCGCGGAGTTTCCATAGCTCCGATATGTTCTGATGCTCTGCTGTTCTTGTGGTGACAGGTTCCGCAGGAGAACTGTGTACGCCAGCAGCGACTGATAAGTAAATATTTCTTGCTCCTTTGCAGTGCCGTTGCTTGGGAATGGCAGGGACCCGTTGAAGTATCCCAGGAGATGCGCAGCCTCCATCAGCAGCTCGAACTCAAACCTCCAGGTAAAGAAATCGTGTCCGTTGAATGGTGAGGATGTCTGCAGTTTAATTACGTGTGAAAACTGCGCCTGGAGACTTAAAATCTCGTTTGGTGTTTGTTGTGATGCAGCTGCTGTTGGTTGGGCACGGGGCGGCATGAACTCGAACGTCCCCGGTGAAGAGTGATAAGGCGCAAAGGTAGGCGCTTGATTGTGTCGCCCGAACGATGAATTGTCGAGGCTCATCGGCGCTAATCCCATGTTTCCTCCGTTGCTCTGTGTTGCATGCGCAGGTGTCCTTGTCTGCTGCTGCTGGTCGAAGTGCGACATGAAGCTGAAGAACCTTTCCATAAGGTTCGGATCCACGCTTGAAGAGGGTGATGGGGTCACCATTTCCGGTGCTCTTCCTGTTATTTCTTGAGCAGCGCCGGTCTCGGTTTGCAGTCCTGAAGTATGCAATCCAGAGTTGCCGGGTTGAATGTCTTGGGCGCTGGGTGAGCCCGTAGAGGTTTTCTTGCCCTTGCTGTCCATGACTTGTAATCAATGAAGTCGTTGAATTGCAGATTGTAGATAGAGCGTAGTTGCTGGGAGTTTGGTCTCTGACCAGCTCTCATACCATGTTGGGCTGAGAAAAGCCCTTAGGATCTTTCCAGAGACTAAGTCCCAATTGAAGAATGAGACTTGAGTAGTGCAGCGGAAGTTTGAGTAGTTGAACGCTTGTACTAGTATATGAGAACAAGTGATTGATTAAGGAAACAAGCATACAGCAATATATAGAAAATAGGAAAGTAAAGCAGTTGTAGAATACAGTTGCAGGAGCGGTTATCGAGTCGCACAGCGACTCGATTGTCGCTTCAGTTACCATCCGCGCAGTTGTAACGGTCAGTCGCAACCTCCAGTTGCGAACCTTCGAGTCCCTTCGTGTTCTTTGTCCACCCCCTCGTGTAACCTCCGTTGACTCGCGTACCCGTTGCGATCTTCCTCGAGTGTAGTGTTACACTTCAGAAACGCTGAAGTCCTTTGAGATATTTCCAACAACTTTCAAGGAGCCCGATTTTTTTAGGGTGACTAAAAACCAAAAGTAAGCCATGGCGCGGGGCTGGCTAGCGCGCGGGGCCGGCGGTGTGCGAGGGGCCAGCTAGGCGAGAGGGGGGCCGGCTAGGCGAGAGGGGGCGGCTAGGCGTGTGAGGCCGGCATGGCGCGAGGGGCCGTCACGGCGCACTAGAGGCCGGCTGGGCGCGAGGGGCCGGTGGGGCGCTAAGGGGCTGGCACGGCGCGTAAGGGACGGGGGGCACGCTAGGGGCCGGCGAGGTGCGCTAGGGGCCAGCGGGCGCGCTAGGGGCCAGTGGGCGCGCTAGGGGCCGGCGGGGCGCGGTAGGCTAGGGTACGACGGGGCGGTAGGCTAGGGCGAGGGGCGGAAGCGGGTGGGCGGACCTAACCTACTATGATACCATGTTAGAATATGAGATATAGGGTTGGAGTTGTACCCTCTAAGAACATACACCTATCTAGCCTTTAACTTCTACATACACATATATGTAGACAAGACATACTGGTAGGACTGGAGGACATTTATTAGAAATGTTAACATCATACATGGCAAAAGTAGAAGGCAATAATAAACCACCAAACACTGGAAACGACCTCCTCTACCACGTGAAAAAATTGCACCAAAGCAAATGAACACGATAAGTGTGCCAACAGACAGAATCTGCACCTAACATGGATTTTTTCCCCTCAATTTGCCCCTCATCAAGCAGCAGTATCTCCACTCGATTGTTGCAGCTTCACCAGGCTATGGTACGCCGAGCTGGGGTTACTAAACAGCACATCATGCGTTCCCTTCTCCACAATCTTCCCGCTTTGCACCACCGCAATGATGTCAGCATTGCGGATCGTGCTCAGGCGATGCGCAATCACGACCGTCGTTCGCCCCACCATCAGGCGGTCCAGAGCATCCTGCACCACGCGCTCCGACTCAGCATCCAGGGCTGATGTGGCCTCGTCCAATAGGAGGATGGCTGGGTTCTTGAGCACAGCTCTGGCAATGGCAATGCGCTGCTTCTGCCCTCCTGAAAGCTGGGTGCCCCTCTCTCCCACCTGCAGGAATTGTGAATGATGGATAGAGGACAGGGTTAATAAATTGTTGGGTGGACATGGGAAGGACAAGCATTGAATGGAGAGACACTGTAAATCAGCAGCCAAGGGAACTGAAGAAATTGCAGGGAGAAAAAAGAGACAACACCAGGCTGCTGCCAATGTTCCTCATAAAACAGCAGATATTTTCAATCCTCACCTCAGTGTCGTATCCATTGGGCAGGCTGCTGATGAAAGTATGGGCATTCGCAGCCTTGGCAGCCTCCACAATCTCCGCCTCAGTTGCGCCCTCCCTCCCATACAGGATATTCTCACGGATCGACACTGCAAACAGCGCTGGCTCCTGGCTCACCAGCCCCACATACGACCGCAGCGACCTCAGATGCAGGCTCTTCACATCCTTCCCGTCCACCAGCACCTTGCCTGCTAGCGGGTCGTAGAATCGCTCAATAAGTGAGATGACAGAGCTCTTGCCACTGCCAGACGGGCCCACGAGTGCCACTGTCTTCCCAGCAGGGACCTTCAGGCTGAAATCGTTGAACAGGACGACGTCCGGACGGGTGGGGTACGCAAACCGCACGTGCTTCAGCTCAATCTCCCCCTTCACCGATTCGACCATCTCGGCCGTCGGATCGTCCGGCACGATCTTGGTCTGGCGGTCGAGCACGGCAAAGAAAGACTTGATGGCATACCCGCCCTTGGCGAGGTCCGGAGCAAGGGTGAGCGTCTCAGCGATGGCGAAGCTGGACATGATGAGCACCATGAACACCTTGAACACCTCGTCAAACGTCCCATTCCCTTGCTGCACCAGCTGCCCGCCGTACCACAGCCCCAGCCCAAACGACGCGTACATGATGAACTGCGACCCGCCGAACGCAAGACCCGTGACCTGCCCGCGCTGCAGAGACCGCTTGAGAGGCGGCTCAAGCTGCTTGCGGAACAGCTGCAGGACTTTGTCCTCCAGGGAGAGAGCAGCCACAGTGCGGATGTTACCCACTGCTTCCGCTGCGACGTTGCTCGCGCTCTCGTGGGCGGCCTTAAGGTCCCCAGCAAAGCCCTTGAGGAATGCCTGCTGGGCAGCTGCTGACGCGATGAGCAGCGGGAAGGTGGCTATGATGACAAGCGCCATGCGCCAGTTGAGAATGAACGAGATCACGAAGGCCACGACGATGAGGGAGAAGTTCTGTGTGATGACGGAGATGCGGTCCCCGATGGCTCCCTTCACCAGAGTGGCGTCGGAGGAGAGGCGCGCTGCAACGGCGCCGCTGTTGTTCTTGTCCTGGTCGAACCACCCGATCTCGTTGCGCAGGATGGAGGAGAGCATGAGCTCGCGCACGCGCTTGGTGAGCTTCTCGCTGACAACGCCGAAGTTGTAGTGCTGGAGCGTGTACACGAGGAAGGAGACCACGCCCAGGCACACGAAGACCACAGCCCACTTGTTCACCTCGGACTGCATCTGGTCCACTGGCTTGTAGTACGCCGTGATCACCTGGTGGGGAGACCGGCGAGGAGGGAGGGAGGGAAGTCAAAGGGTAGTAGTGAGGAGATGGGGGGAAGAGTTGCGAGGACAAGAAGGGAAGGGCCATGCAACAGCACAAGAGAGAGAATATGCCAAGTGGTAGAACCGAGGGATGTCTGGAAACAAAGAAAGCCGAAGTTTGGGTAAAGATACAGTGAAACTCACGGTGGTGAGGAAGAGGCCGAAGATGGGGTTGATGGAGCCGGCAAGAGCGGACCCCACGACAGCGAGAGCCGTGAAGGGCCAGTCGGGGAGGGTGAGCTTGAAGAGGCGCCACCACGACCCCTTGCTCTTGGCCTCCCCGCTCTCCTCCTCGTCGGACTCGGAATCCACTGCTGACCGGCCGCCCTCTGATAGCGACGACTGCTGCAACTCAATGCTGCGACGGCTGATGAAGGGGGCGGTGAAAGGGAAGAAGAGGGCAAGGGGGAAAAGGGAGGAGGGGGGAATGGTGGTTGAGAGGAGGGGGATAAAGAGGCACAGAAAAAACGCACAACAAACATGAGCACATACATTCCAACACCCAACGTGCACCAGCCACATGCACAGGGAGCAGCACCCATCTCATTTGCAACCCTCAATCACATATGAACACACCACACCCACACCCACACCCACACCCACACCCACACCCACACCCACACCCACTCCCACTCCCACTCCCACTCCCACTCCCACTCCCACTCCCACACCCACTCCCACTCCCACTCCCACTCCCACTCCCACTCCCACTCCCACTCCCACTCCCACTCCCACTCCCACTCCCACTCCCACTCCCACTCCCACTCCCACTCCCACTCCCACCCCCACTCCCACTCCCACTCCCACTCCCACTCCCACTCCCACTCCCACTCCCACTCCCACTCCCACTCCCACTCCCACTCCCACTCCCACTCCCACTCCCACTCCCACTCCCACTCCCACTCCCACTCCCACTCCCACTCCCACTCCCACTCCCACTCCCACTCCCACTCCCACTCCCACTCCCACTCCCACTCCCACTCCCACTCCCACTCCCACTCCCACTCCCACTCCCACTCCCACTCCCACTCCCACTCCCACTCCCACTCCCACTCCCACTCCCACTCCCACTCCCACTCCCACTCCCACTCCCACTCCCACTCCCACTCCCACTCCCACTCCCACTCCCACTCCCACTCCCACTCCCACTCCCACTCCCACTCCCACTCCCACTCCCACTCCCACTCCCACTCCCACTCCCACTCCCACTCCCACTCCCACTCCCACTCCCACTCCCACTCCCACTCCCACTCCCACTCCCACTCCCACTCCCACACCCAACATACCGGGACGAACCGGCCCCTCCATCGAGCTCCTCCCCGCTGGCCACGGCCTTGAGCTGCAGCTTCACCAGCGTGGCATACTCGCCCTCCTTCGCCATCAGCGCGTCGTGCGTGCCCTGCTCCACCAGCCTCCCCTTCGTCACCACCGCAATCGAATCCGCCCCGCGGATCGTCGACAGCCGGTGCGCAATCACCACAGTGGTTCGCCCGCCCATCACTCCATCCAGAGCTGTTTGCACCACCTTTTCGGATTCTGCGTCCAGTGCGGAAGTTGCTTCGTCTAGGAGCAGAATCGTAGGGTTGCGGAGAATAGCGCGCGCGATCGCAATTCGTTGCTTCTGCCCTCCAGACATCTGCACGCCCCGCTCCCCAACCTGCGTGTCGTAACCCTCGGGCAGCCCGGAAATAAACCCGTGCGCGTTGGCCGCCTTAGCTGCCGCCTCCACCTCTTCCATCGTCACCCCATCCTTCCCGTACATAATATTCTCCTTAATACTCGTCGCAAACAGCGCAGGCTCCTGGCTCACAAGCCCAATCTGGTCCCTCAGCCACTTGAGCTGCAGGGAGCGGATATCGCGCCCGTCCAGATACACCGCACCTGCAAGCGGGTCATAGAACCTCTCGACCAGCGCCACCACCGTGCTCTTCCCACTGCCCGATGACCCCACAATCGCGACTGTCGTCCCGGCGGTGATCGTGAGTGAAAAGTCCTCAAAAATCGTGACGTCCGAGCGGGCAGGGTAGGAGAAGCGCACGCTGCGCAGCTCAAGGTCGCCCTTGACTTTGTCGGGGACCTCCCCGCTGGTGTCGTCCACGTCGATGGCGGACTTGCGCAGGATGGTCTGGAAGATGGTGTACGCCGCCGCCTGGCCCTTGGCGAACGCCGTCACGTTCGGCATCGCTTGACCCAGAGACCTGAGAGGGAGTTGCATAGGAGCAAACGGGAAGGGGAGATGGTTAGAACGCGAGGGGGTGAGGGAGAGGGAGGGCAGGAGGGAGAGGAAGGGGGAGCATGGAGAGAGATTGGAAAGATCCAAAAACGACGAGATTGGGGGGAAGACATGGAGAGCAGGTGATTGAGTTGAGAGATAGTGAACAATGCATGCCACCACGAGTCTAAAGTTGAGACGACGCGTCTCAAGTCTGCTTGCACAGCCAAGTCATGGCACTCACAGGCCGCCGATGAGCACAGAGAACATGGTCGTGAGCGCCTCCCCGCCCGTGGCCTTGCCGTCCGCGACGAGCTTCGAGGCGAACCAGAACTGCAGCGCCCACGCGCAGAACATCACGCCGAAGACGGCGCCCATGCCCATGCCCTTAGACAGCCCGCCCTGGATCCCCAGGCCGAGCGTCGCCTCCAGCGCGTCCATATACTGCTTCAGCGTCTTCTCCTCGGCTACAAACGAGTACACCGTCCGCACCTGCCCGATCGCTTGCTCCGCGACCGCGCCCGCCTTGGCGTACGCCTCCTGCCCCTTGGAGGTGAGGCCCGTGAGCACGATGGCGTAGATGGCGCCGCAGCAGGCGATGAGGGGGACCACAGCGAGGATGACGAGCGTGAGCTGCCAGATGCTCGTGAAGCCGATGATGAACCCGGCGACGAACGTCGCCATGAAGTGCAGGAAGTTGCCCACCTGGGAGGAATCGAGGAGAGGAGGGGATGGCGGGGGAGGGGTGACGAGGGGAGAGGTGGCGCGGGGGGGGGGGAGGTGGGGGGGGGCGGGAATAGAGGGTAGGGTGTGAGTGAGGGAAAGTGGAGAACGCATTGTTATACCCTTGGGGGAATTGCAGATGGCAGTAGTTCTAATGCTCCTTCGCTCTGGGACCCTAGACCTTATCGAGACCCTATAATCCCCCCAACCGTAAGTATCATTACGTTTCTTGCCGTTCCTTCACACTAGCGATTACTTTCGTCCTCGACACTTCGTCGTGGGCCACATACATTCCTCGCCCCCTGCTCCACTCCGTCTCCTCTCCCAACCCCGTTCTAACATCCCACTCCTTCCCGCTCACACCCCACCCCATTCCCTAATCCCCGTCACCTCACCCGCCTCACCTTCTCGGAGATGGCGTCCTGCACGAGCAGCACGTCGCCCGACACATTCCTGACGAACTGCTCGGAGCTCGATGCTGGTTCCAAAAACCCAATCTTCTGCTTCACGAGTATTGTGAACTCTCTAGATTTCCCTTCCCCTATCCCCCGTCCCCCATACCCCCCATACCCCCCGTACCCGCTACCCCCTCCCGCCTCACCTTCTCGGAGATGGCGTCCTGCACGAGCAGCACGTCGCCCGAGACGTTGCTGACGATCTGGCCGGAGCTGGACTCGGTGTCGAAGAACCCGATCTCCTGCTTCAGAATCGCCGCCAGGTACCGCTCGCGGATGCGCGCCGACTGCCGCTCGCCCGTGTGCATCCAGCACGACACCTCTGCGTTCCCGGAACGCGGGAACGAGGGGGGGAGGGGGGGGGAGCGGGGGAGGGAGGGAAGGGAAGGGAGGGAAGGGAAGGGGGGACGCGCGTGACGGGAGGGAGAGACAAGGAGGGACACAGAGAAGAGATGAGACTGAACAGAACGACTTGAAGCTGAGGCGGGGCGGTTTCGGAAATTAAATGCACTGTGTTGAGAAAGCGACGGGGCGGGGACAGAGGGAATCACGGAAGGAAGGAAGGCGACGTACCAAGCCAGCCTCCGAGCCAGACAATAAGTCCCAGATAGACTAGGTACGCGGAGTACTGCAAGATGACGAGGAAATAGCAAAAGAGAAGGCATCAGACAAAGCGAGCCCATAATTAGCAGAAAAAAACGGTAAGGAAGAGAAGCACGAGGCAATTCGGAAAAAAAAAAAAAAAAAAAAAAGGATAATAACGAATGGACGGACGACAAGACAGAGCCATGAATTGTAAACAAGTACGAATTGTCAACGACGAGAAAAGCAGAGTTTACTTTGCTGACGCCTCCGATGTCGTTAGTTCCCATGGAGTCGATGAGCTCTCCGAAGAAGAGGAAGAACACGGGCAGAGCGGCGCCGTGAATACACGCTCCAATTGACCCGATCGCGATCAACAGGTAGTCCACGGAGTCGGCGTAGGAGAACAGCTTGTGGAACGCGACGGAGGGAGGAGGTGGCTTCTTCTCGCTCCCTTCCTTGGCGACCTCGGCTTGGTCGTTCTTCGTGGGAGAATTGCTGTCCTTGGATTCCACGCCATTTTCTGACAGAAAGTTGGAGAGAGAGAGAGAGAGAAGAAAGGAAAGGCGAAAGAAACGGTAAGCTTCTGAAAAATGGTACCCCCACGCCAATTTCTTACGTCTTCAATTCGCCTAGCGCGATGTTGAAACGAGGCTCGCGCTGTAAATGTTGCTCAACCACCAGAACTCAAGCTCAACAATGTTTACCTTGTAAAGCTCCCTGAAGCGGATCTGTAGGCGCTGGTCCTTCACCCATAGTGGCGTAACTTCAGCGCGGCAAAGAACGGTGGTGCCAGATGAGGAAGAGTGGATATCCGACGGGATAACGTAACGTTGGTCACGGGCGTGGGTGCTCGGTGCTCCTGATAGTCCGTCCAGATGTAATGGTCGAAGGACTGCACTGAACTGCTCCTTCGGGCACGCGAGCCGAAAGGGCCCCACCAGAGGTTCCCGTGTGCAGCTTTGGGTGACACTCTCGTGACACTTCCAATGGAGAGTGAAGGCGACAGTTTCTGTAGTCGCTAACTAAAGCTGTAGGGAAGCAAGCAAGTCGTGGTGGTGCTTGCTTGCTCACCGCACTCCTGCTGGGCTTTCGCTGCTACTGCTGCTGGGGTTGCTGCTACAGTGGTTTCCAGAATGTGACTTTCCAGGATCTTGTGGTAGGGAAGGGATCACAAATACAATCTTCTCTCGCACCTCACTTTATGCAAAACGGACGATTCAGATCAGCCCTTGAGGTTCTCCTCAGCAGAGGGGGTGCGGAGGGCTGGGGGTCGCCGCGGAATGGGTTGCTCACTCCGCTCACCGCGCTGTATCATGACAGCACGGTCGAGTCCATGCGTCACTTGCGAACACCACTGGCGCAGATGCTGGGGGGAGCTGAAAGAGGGAAGTCGTGTGATTGGACGAACCCCTGTCGGGACTCGGAAAGGTTCCGCGTGCCCTTCTACAGAGTGGCTCTAACCTGCCCATTCGGGGCCTTGGTCTTGACAGCGATTGGCGGATTGGGTGATGGAATGCAAGGCAACGCCATGGAGGGCGGTCAGCTGTTGGGAAGTGTCGTGCCTTTCACGCCTGGTGCTTTTCCTGCTCGAGCGGCAAGGACGGGTGTTGAGAAAAACCCTCGCGAAACCTTTGGAAAGTGACATTTTTGGTATTTCGGGCTGACCGGAAAAGGCTTTTATACGGAATATAGCTTCTGTTTTGGCACAAACAAAGCGAAGAGGGTAGGGTAAGTTCTGGACTGGGGGCAAGCCCCGGGGCAGGGCATCGGGGCATCAGTTGTACGAGTGAGATCGCCCTCACTTGGTTTGATCTCACCTGTATAATTAATTCCCCGAAGCCCTGCCTCGAGGCTTGCCCCGAGCCCAGAACTGCCCTAACATCACTCCGCAAAACCCTTTTAGGCCAAGTGATGACGTAATCAAGGCACTGGCACAGGCTTCCAGGAAGCTTCAGTTGCAGCCTGTCTGGTTCCCTTTTCACCTCACCACCACACAACCATGTGGGGCCGAGCAAGGCTGCTGCTGAAGTCATCGTGACGACAGGCCTAGCACGAATCAATGGCCCAGAGAAAGTTGCGCCATTCGTTCTCCAAACGAAATTCATGTGTCTTACGTCGAGTGTCGAGCCACCAAGTGCAATCAAGCTTTATTATGGACAGTACATGACAAATGATTAAGAGGCCGCTAACTTGGTTCAATTTCCTTGATCACTACAATATGACGTGAGAGTCCCACCCTCTGGAGTGACATGGGCCTTCTGTATAGTGTACTCTGATATTACTAAGTTCTCAACTGGTCTCCTTCATCCCGAATCCCCCGTGTCGTTCACTTACAGCGCATGTCCGTTATCTTCCCTTTATCGATGAGTTAATTGTATGCATTAGTGATATTTTTTATTCAGTACTCTTGATTAACCTACCCCCGCATTCGTAGTTGTAAGGAAAAATCATTTTCCTTACGGTACTCGACTACAGCGCGTATGCCCTTGACTCTCGAAAGTCCAGCCTTGGCCACTTTCTTCGGTCTCGAACCACTTTGCGAACCCAAACCTCGACGCGTAGCGCTTCCATCGCTTTCGCCAACCGAATCGCCCCAACCTGTTCGCGTGGTTCTCGGCTAGCTTTGTTCATGCCTATCAATGCCTAAGCCTTCATTTGTATCGACACTCTTGAATTACGACTCCTTTATTACATTACCTGTTATTACTCTTATTAATTCATAACAGCGGCTATCAGAGCCCCGTTCCTGCCCGCTTAGTCTTCCGTAGAGTAGTCCGCTTATATCGGGAAAGGACCCGACAGAATAGAGGGTTGGCCAGTGGTTGGTAGGCAAGCTCGTTAAAGCTCCTCCAACTAAAAGCGTATGCACCCTCAGATCTGTCAGGTAAAATTTCCATCATGACTAGCACGCCGGAAACCTCTGCCCGTCATAGTATTAGGAACGTGACTTAGGAGGAGTTTGACGAGTCCACAGCGAACCACGAGAGGCCATTAAAATCAAACCTCCAATGCCCCCACCGTTCAACCCGACCGACAGAACCACTACAGTGAGCGGGTGGCTGTTCGCCATGGAAATCTTCTTCACGGCAGCAAATATTAATGACAACGCCTCACGTGTCAACTTGGCTGTGTCCCTGCTGAGGGGACCGGCACTCAACTGGTGGCGCATGCATCTTGACGAGGGGGGAGCTCCAGCAGGGAATCAACGGGCGGCAGCTGGGGAGATAAGTTCATAAACGGCGAAGGCAGAACCAATCTTTGGATCGGCCACGATCCGCACGTGGAAAACGTGGGGCGAGACGTTGAAGGGCAGATTCGAGCACATATCCATGCGCGAAAATGCTCGCACAAAGCTTCGGATGTGGAGACAGTTGGGCTCTGTCCAAGAATACACGGCGTCGTTTTTTGCCATCTGCGACCAAATCGGAGGGATTAGCGAGGACGAGAAAATCTATCGCTACGTGGGAGGACTCAAGCCGGAGATTCAACAAGAAATTGTCCTGCGAGCCCCGACGACCTTCAACAAGATTATTCGCATAGTAGATACGCTGGACGCGCGACGTGGACTCGCAAGAGCGTGTTTCCGAGAGGGAAATCGCTTTCGAGGCCAGGCCCAACACACATCAATCAACGGCGGGGATGTGTTTGCAGCCCAAGTATTTTCATGGAACTGCTTCCACTGCAACCAGCCAGGTCACATGGTGAGGGACTGCCCGCAGCTGGAAAAAAGCTTACCTAACGACAAGAAGCAGTCGGGAAATGGAGATCGTCAGTAGCAGATGGGCCACCTACTGACTTGACTGCGTCGCCCAAACGCCACCGCCCCCACCAAGTTATAGTGCCGATTTGGGCTATCGACCATTCCTGGCTGAATAAGGGGGGTGAACCAGTTGATCACCCTGTGCTGGTCGAAGGGAGAGTTGGCGACACCCGCATAAAAATATTCGTTGATGGCGGGGCGAGCCACAGTTTGATGGATGTGACGAAGGCAAAAAATTTGCGACTGCAACTGGAGCGCTGCATGCCGGAGATCAACGCGCGATTGGTCGACAGCACCCCACTGGCAATTCGGGAGCGAGTACCTCATGTGCGAGTTACATGCGGCGAAAATTTCAGCTTCACGACTAAGATGCTGGCGACGACGCTGGATGGCTGCGACATGCTGCTGGGACGCAATTTGTTGCACGAATACATTCCGAGTATCGGCTGGCAGACGGGTGACTGTCGCATTAAATGGAGTGGCGAGTGGCGACGACTTCCGAAATGGAGCAGTCAAGACTCCGCGACCTCCACAGTCAGCGCAGTTACCATCAAGTAAGCAATGATCCGCGGCGCACAATTGTACGCCGTCCGATGGACCGCATCCACGGCAGTCGACGCACCGGCCGACATCCATAGACTCTGCGCAGCTTATCCCGACGACTTGGTGACATTAATTCGCAGATATGCCGACATTCTTCCACATGACCTACCGCCGAGTTAACCACCTGAGAGAGCCCACGACCACAAAATCGAGTTGGAGCCTGGCGCGCAACCGACTGTTCGGACTCAATGGAGGCTGACTCAGCCAGAGTTGGATGAACTTCGACACCGGCTGGACTACCTGCTCGAGAAAGGCTTCGCTCGCCGCAGTACTTCACCATTCGCAGCTCCAATCCTGTTCACCCCGAAGAAAGACGGCGGTCTACGAATGTGCATCGACTACCGAGCCTTGAACTGGGTTACCATCAAGTCCCGCTATCCTATCCCGCGTGCCGACGAACTCATCGATCAACTTCGTGGGGCAAAGTTCTTTTCGAAAATTGACCTGCAAGGCGGTTACCATCAAATTCGTGTCAACGAAGCTCACTGTTACAAGACGGCTTTCCGGTCCTTCTACGGGAGTTACGAGTACACGGTTATGCCTTTTGGCTTAACAAACGCACCTTCGACGTTCCAGTTAACCATGAACGAAGTTTTTCGGCCGCTGCTGGACAAATGCGTCATCGTGTACCTCGACGATATCCTGGTATTCAGTACTACCCGGGAGCAGCATTTGAAGGATTTGGAAGCAGTCTCCTCTCTCTTGCAGCAGCATCGACTCATCACCAAAGGTTGTAAGTGCGAGTTCCTGAAACAAGAACTGGAGTTTTTGGGACACGTTATCTCAATCGACGGTGTTAAAATCGGCCAGAATAAAATCGCGACAATTCAAGACTAGAAGCCGCCTGCTAACCTCCGCGAACTTCAAAGTTTCCTGGGGTTTGTGAATTACGTTCACCGGTTCATTCCGAACATGGCAGGGGTAACTTCCCCTCTCACGGATCTCCTGAGGAAAGGCAAGTTTTATGAGTGGGGGGGAAAGCAGCAGGCTGCGTTCGACCAACTCAAACTTTTCCTGACAGCACCTCCAGTTCTTCGCATTGCAGATCCTCACCGTCCGTTCGAGCTCATCACCGACGCTAGCGACCTGGCTGTTGGCGCGGTACTGTTACAAGACTTCGGCGAAGGACTTCAACCCATCGCCTACGAGTCACGAAAGTTGAATCCGACCGAGCAAAATTATCCTGTCCACGACAAGGAGTTACTCGCCATCGTCCACGCTTTCAAGATGCGGCGCTGCTACCTGACGGGCATTGACGTGATAGTCCGAACAGACCACAAATCGCTACAGTTCATCCGCGCCCAACCGACTCTCAATCCCCGACAGATTCGCTGGCTCGATTATCTCGAGTCGAATTTCCACTACCGAGTCACCTACAAACGAGGGGCCAGCAACATCGCCGACGCACTGACCCGTCCTTCGGTCCATACTGCCATAGTCCTAATCACCCATGCTAATCCGCTGCTAACTGGCCTATTCACCCACGGATACAGTACCGATCCATTCTTCACCACTAACATTCATCCCCAACTGACAGTCAAGCAGGGGGCTTATTACATAAAATCCGGTACCAATCGGATTTGGGTTCCCGCCTACCATACCCTATGCGAGCTACTGATACAGGAGGCACACGACTCGAATTTCTCGGGTCACTACGGCATCGACAAAACCGCCAAATTACTGAGCCGTAATTATTACTGGCCAGACTTGCCGACAGACGTGCAGCAGTACGTCGCCTCATACGACACGTGTCAACGCATGCAGTTGTCACGACTTCGACCTGCGGGATTACTGCAGGCGCTCGAGCCACCCAGCCGACCCTGGCAACAGGTGACGATGGATTTCGTCACTGGTCTGCCAGCTGGCCCAAGCGGTAACGACGCGATTCTCGTCGTCGTTGACCGGTTGACCAAGATGGCCCACCTCGCCACCTGCAAGACGACAATCACTGCCGAGCAGACAGCGAAGCTGTTCCTGACGAACATCGTGCGGTTACACGGCATCCTTTCGGCAATCATCAGCGACCGCGACCCTGGTTCACATCCAACTTCTGGACAAAAACCTGGCAGCAGTACGGCACACGTCTGCATCTGTCCATGGCATACCACACGCAATCGGACGGTCAGAATGAGCGCACAAATCAGACGATGGAGCAGCTGATTCGCAGGACGTGCACAGACCCGGCCCAGTGGGAAGATTCTCTTCGACTAATCGAGTTTGCGTACAACAACGCCCCATCAGCCACGACTACTCAGTCCCCGTTGTTCCTTAATTACGGGATAGACCCGACAACCCCTCTATCGCCACCGATAGAAAATCCAGTTCGTCGAAAAACTACGACAGTCTCAGCAAAAAGCTGCTGATGCCATCCTCAAAGCCAACCAACGGGCTAAGCAACAAGCTGACCGAAGACGCCATGAATTAACTCTTTTCCCTGGACAATTGGTCCTGCTCGACACCAGAAACTTGGGGGTTCCCCTCCCAAATATACTACGACCAAGATTTTGCGGGCCGTTCGGCATTATCCGAATGGTGACACCCGTCACCGCCCAACTGCAACTGCCGAACGACCGGCGAATTCACGATTCATTCCACGTCAGCCTGCTGCGACCGTTCGTCCCGAGTACGACTGATCTCGACCGTCAACACATCAATCCTACGGTCAACCCAGTACCCGAGCCGACGATCGAGCCCTCGAAGATTCTCGCTCACCGCGTACGCGGCCGTCGAGATACAGCAGTCGTCGATTTCCTTATACGATGGGTCGATCGCACGAGTGACGACGATCTTTGGGTCTCTGCAGTTATGCTCGGCGAACACAAAGTCGTCCGGGACTATTTACACCGACGACATGTCCCGGATGTGGGTAGTCTCATCCCGGAAGGGGGGGTGGTGTAAGGAAAAATCTTTTTCCTTACGGGACTCGACTACAGCGCGTACGCCCTCAACTCTTGGAAGTCCAGCCTCGGCAACTTTCTTCGGTCCTGAACTACTTCGCGAACCCAAACCTCGACGCGCAGCGCTTCCGTGGCTTTCGCCAACCGAATCGCCCCAACCTGTTCGCGTGGTTCTCGGCTAGCTCTGTTCGTGCCTATAAATGCCTAGGCCTTCATTTGTATCGACACTCTTGAATCACGACTCCTTCATTACACTACCTGTTATTACTCTGATTAATTCATAACAGCGGCGCTATTTTGCAACGTATACTTATTACAGGTGATCACATAAAAGTACACCACGCTTTAGGAAAACCACTGTGGACATATAAACGTTCTCGAAGCGGTTTGATGGTGCTTTTGCGCGGGAAGGCCCTGAAGCGTGCTGGTTGGAAGTTAGGGAAATTTGAACTTTTCCCGCCACCAGATCCATCATCACAGTTGTGCTGGCGTCGTGCAACCCGCAGAACATCGCAGTGGGAGTACTGATGTCGCGGATTCGTCAAGCACAGCTCTGCAAGGATGCAATGCGTAACACTAACAGCATGACGAACCTCGCCTAAATCGTGGCCATTCAGGCATCGACGTGTGAGTCGCCGTAACGACATTGCTGTCTATCTCCTCTCCTCCCCCGCCCCCCTGTTTTCCCCTCTCCCTCCCCCCGCCTTCATTCCCCGACCAACCAAGCAGTTTCGCTGGGCAGGCACACCACACCACCATCATTCCAGGAGGGTGAGTGCCCATTTGGTAAAGTTCCAGGTAGACATTTATTGTATGGGTATTTTTCGGTGTTAAATATATGAATTCCATATCCTGATTCAGGACCACAGATCGTCTCTCACCTTAACGAAATAACACCTGAGCGTCATAAAGTTTTATGATAACAGAATTGTGATAACAAATTTCACTAGGGTAGACAATTGTGCAAGTGCTGATCGCGGGCGCCCGGTCTTGTGCCCCACGATCCCCCGCGCACGCCCAACTGCGACCGGCTCTCCACCACTGCTCAGCGAGTCATAAGCTTGCATCGCCAGTTCGCGCCAAAATTCCCCATCTCTTGACAGCGCATTTTCCCACTTCATAAGCCCCCCTCCTCTTCTCCGCCCCTATCCCTGTGCCCCCGTCTTTGCTTCATCCCCCCGCCCCACCCCATGCGTGCTCTTCCCCAGCCTCTCCCTCCACCACCCACCTGCCATCCACCCATCCCCACTACCAATTCGCCCTCTTCGCTCAATCAGCAGTCTAGAATGCCTCAGTCAGCCGCTTCTAGCCTGTCTAAGAACCACATAATCGACATTGAGGGTGTGAAGGAACTGTAGTTAGCAACCACTTTCTCCCATTCTAGCATCCAGGCATTTCTTCTAGCAGCACTCCGCCCGTCACGCCATGGCTGCCGCGACCTCTCGGTCGCTGGTGCCGCCGGCATTACGCCGTGGATCGCCCTCAGCCCCCGCGACCCGTCCGTCATCGGAGCCAGTTCACAGGCTAGGTTGCCTCAAGAGCCGCCCGCTCTCAGTTCCCAGTCCCGCGCGCACGTCCCTTCCCACCACGTCCCTCCGTGTTCCCCTTGTCCCCGCTGCTGCGATCAACAACGCCGATCTTGCCGACGATACGGACCGCGGTCGTTCACCTGGAGAAGCCAAAGGAAGCGCCTCCGCCGGCCATTGGCAGAAGGCTGTGATCATCGCGACCGCACCGCTTGGCGCGCTCCTGTTGACTTCCGGTCCCGCTTCCGCGTTTTCCGGCAGCCACGCGCACGGTGGTCTTGGGCAGGGCGAGTTAGGCTGGTCCGAGTCCCTCGGGACCAATGCTGGAGGAGGGGGGGGCAGCGGCAGCGGCAATGGCGACGGCGGGGGCGGCGGCGGAGGTGGTGGGGAGGGTGGAGGAGGAGGAGCAGCGCAACGACCTGGAGACAGCTCGCCGTACTCCAATGCTGACCTGGAGGATGATGATGATGACGTGGACGAGGCGGACAACCCGGGCGGCATATCCGAGCCAGTAAGCCCAGTCAGCAAGAGCGCTACCGGCGTTCGCGCCTCGGCTGCGGATGCAGTTGCGAGCAATACTTCTGGCAGCAGCAAAGGAGGCCGAGACGCGGCGGCGCGAGAGTTCCCCAAGCGTCGGTCCAGCAGCCGCCGCCGCCACGGCGCAAGCGGGAGCGGCGGCGGCGGCGGTGCCACGCTGCTGAACTCTTACCCCCCGGACGTGCTCTTCGCGTCCCTCTCCGCCGTCGCCAGCTCCGCCGGCCGAGCCGGCACCGGCGGTGACGAGAGCGCGGCCCCGGGTAGCGGCGGTGGGGGAAGCAGCAGCTCCGCGGGCGGCTCGAGCAGCGGAATGATCAGCAGCAGGCGGAGGCGGCCGGACGACGAGCGCATGCGGCGCGCGGACGGCATGTTCGATTGGATGGCGGGGCTGCTGCACTCGCTGCTCGCGTCGCGCCTCGACGGCATGCAAGACCGCGTGGACCGGCAAGCACTGATGGCGGAAACGGCGGACCTCGTGGTGCAGATTCTCGACAAACGCTCCGCCGATGACGCCTTTGCGCACCGGTCGGAGGTTAGCGCGCTCCGCCGCCTGCAGCGCGAGGCGTTCCAGGACCTGCTCCGCGTCAAGGACCGCCTGCACCGCCTGGAGTTCCTCTCCGGGGTCCGTCAGTCCCCCGACAGCCGCTCCGCCGGCTCCGCGTATTCCGCCTCCGCCACGGCGTTTGGCGCAAGCGCGGGTGCGTTTGGCGCGGGGATCGCGGGGATTGGGGAGGAGAGCGGGGTGTGGGGGGGATTGGGTGCGGGCGCGGGGAGCGTGTTGGGCGGAGGGGGGCGGACGCGCCTGCACGGGGAGATCGCGGCGGGCGGAGCGTTCGTTCCGACGGAGGGCGCGCGGAGCCATGGTACGCGCGCGGCGCTAGAACAAGCGGGTATGCGATCAGGGCTGACTGTGAAGTTCAGATTCGATACGACGTGCCGCGACGATGACCTCTTATCTACCGAGCTGACGGCCGGCCTAGGAGAGGATAGCAGCAGCTTTATGCTGGGCGGCCCGGTGAACGTGCATAAGATCCTCTACAGTACTAAGTTATGCGACGGCCTGCAGCTCGCCGTGGCGCCTTTAGGAGCCGTCGGATCGGACATGGCCGAAGGAATGAACCCGCTTAAAGACCAGGGCCTCACGCGCTTCTCGTCCGGCGGAATCTCCCTGCACCGCCGCGCGCGGGGCTCCGCGCTCGCTCTGTCCCTGCGCAACTCCTCCGCGTCCTTCACCGCCGCGCAGTTCCTCTCCGGGTGGGGGGTGTCGCAGGACCCCGAGGGGGAATCCGCGGGCCTGTGCGCATCGTCCCTCGCGCAGCTATCCCTCCAGCCGCAGGATAACATCGTCCTTTCCATGTCCGCGCTTAACCGTCTCTGGCCCTCCCCGCCGCTGCCCTCCGCCACGGGGCTCCACTGGAGCGAGATGGGCCCGCTGGTGGTTCCGAAGCTGCTGCCGTGGCTCGGCAAGCCGAAGAAGACAGGCTCGGGACGCGGCGCGGGGAGCGGGGACGGGAGTTCCGCGACAGGGGGAGCGGAGAGCAGCAGCGGGGTGGTGGGGCAGGAGCTGTGGCTTCCGCCTGATCAGGAGCCGGCTACTATGGTGCAGTCTGTGGCGGTGTCTGGAGCCGCGCAGCTAGGACCGGCTACTATTGCGGCGTGGGCGCAGGCGGAAAACGGGGATTGCTTAGATGAGGATGCGCGGAGGAAGTTGCAGTGGTCGGTGTCGCTGCTGCTGCAGGGGAAGGGGGGAGAGGAGGACGAGGGGAAAAACGGCGGCGGCACTGGCGGAAGCAGCGCGAATGGCGCGGGTGGGAAGGCTGGCGCGGGGAAGGCGGGGCGGAAGGGGAAATGGACGGACAGGATCTCGCTGGGAGCGTGCATCGGCGGCACCCAGCCAGATGCGTTTTTCCTGGGAGGGGGGGCGGAGTCTAGCAGCACGGGGATGGTGCAGGGGGAGAGCGGGGAGGGGAACGAGGGGGGGGGCGCGGGCACGGGCGCGGGGCAGGTGCAGGCGGAGGCGTTTTTGCGGGTGAAGTGCGGGAGGGGGCTGGTGCTGCAGCCGGGGGTGGTGGTGGCGGAGAACGAGAGGTCTGGGCGGCACACGGCGTTCATGCTGAGGACCTCCTGGGCCCTCTGAGCTCCTTGAGCATTCTCTAACGCCCTCTGAGGGAGGTATGTAACGAGGAGCTTACTGGCAGGGGTGTGTGGGTGGGAAAGGGGGGCTTCTGGGGGGAGGGGGACAGTGCGGGGGGGTGAAGAGGTAACGGGGTGGGGTGTATGAGGCTGGTGTGCTCGAGGTGGGTAAGAATCGGTGTGTGCTGGTGAAATACAGTGCTTGAAAGGGAGAGGTGTGATGCAGTGGAAGTTGCTCACAGATGCGTGTGTGCATCCTATGTGTGTGAGGGAGGGAGAAATGGAGAGAGTGCAGGTCGTAGCAGAAGGGGGGGTTAGGGTGAGGGGCGGATGGGGGGAGGTGGGGGAAGAGCAATGAGAGATTCTTTTTATGTGTGTGCAGGCTATTTGCAGCTGATAATAACCATCCATCCCTATTCCCTAATCCATGCTTCACCATTGCAGGGAAGGTGAAACCAGGATACCTTTACCTTTATCCCACCCCCTTACTACTCTATCAAGAGTGGCATGAAGATGGGACAGCCTCACCTAGGTGCTCTAACTTATTATGCAAAGTGGCGGCCACGACTTTTTCTAACAATTCTATTTAGGCTATCGGGCATATCATATGCTTGTAGGTGGCTATTTTGTGTGCTGGATGTAATTTTTGTTTTACTGATGAAATTGTGAGACTTCATTGTTCTTCCGAATTTGTTGTCATGCAGAAGCATTATGTGCCACAGAGCAGCACCTTTCTTTGCCCTCTTCCTCGCTAATTAGACTTTAGCGTGCGGAATCTGGGTTCCACTATCAAGGCGTTTTCAGGACCCTTGGCCATAATGCATATATCGAAGACGCCCTTGTGGAATTTCAGCCCCGTCCTCATCACCCACAGCTAGTAGGCAGTCATGTCGAGAGTGGAATTCGGCACGGCCTATTGAGAAGTCCCTACGGCTTTTCCGACGTATATGCGTGTTACAGATTTCCGGCGCTGTAGAGCGGCACTTTATAACGGTCTGACGTCGAGGACTCTCGACGAGGCAAGCCCTCCACTCGTGAAAGACGGATGCAGAGAATCTCGCATCATGACGTACGTTAGTATGAAGGAAAGCAAGCACGATTCGCGGCTCGGAGGGAGCGAGGCAGTGGGAGCGACTTGGCAAATAACTGGCGGCGCGACGAGGCGATGGGGGGGAGGGCGCAGGGCGGGCCCCGTGCCGCTGTACTCTTGCGGGTTACGCGACACGTGGCAGCGCGAGAGTGGTCGGCGCGCGCCGGTTTCGTTTGCCCGCGCCGCAGCCGGCTCGCATGTGAGTTGTGCTTCCGTCGAGTAATCGCGCTCGTCACAGCCACTGGCGGAACGAGTGAACCAACCACGCCAAACCATGATGCGCTCTCCACCCTCCCCTCCCTCCCCTCCCTCCCATCCCTCCCCTCCCTTCCCTTTTCTACCCTCTCCTCCTCCAACAGCCTCTCATCCTTGATTTTGCAGGGTGTTTTTGTGAATTCTCAAAAACACCCTGCCCTCGTTCCAGCATCAGTCCGCACCCGCCACCAGGGATGTGTCAATCCACCTTTCTAAATCCCTCCCCACCCCTTCTTCCCTCTGTCACTCGCCTCCTATCCCGGGCCGTTGCCTCCCAGCACGGCTGTGTCAACACCACCCCTCTCCTCGCATCCCCACCCCTCCACTCCGCTTCCCGCCTCACCCTCTCTTCCTTTGCCCTCCCTCCCCTCCCCTTTCCCTATGACCTCAGCCCCTTGTCTCCCGTCTCGCGCTCACCTCAGTGCTCGCCTCGCACCACGGCTGTGTGAACACCGTCGCCTTCACCCCCTCGGGCCAGCGCCTGCTGTCGGGCTCGGACGACCAGCGCATCGTGCTGTGGGACTGGGCCAAGGGCGCGGAGGTGCTCAAGTGGCGGTCGGGCCATGGCAACAACGTGTTCCAGGCGCGCGCGCTGCCGTGCAGCAACGAGCGAACGGTGGTCACTTGCGCCGCGGATGGGCAGGTAATGGGCAGGTACGGGGGTGATTGTGGTGCGACAGACAGACTGACTGACAGACAGACTGCGAGGTGCTCAAGTGGCGGTCGGGCCATGGCAACAACGTGTTCCATGCACCAACGAGCGCACGGTGGTCACTTGTGCGGCTGACGGGCAGGTAGTGGGCAGGTAGGGAGGTTATTGCAATTTTCCAGGCGGCTCATAATCTCCTTTATTGACTCAAAACCACCAGCCAAATGTCATCCCTCCCTCCCTCCCTCCCTCCCTCCCTCCCTCCCCGTCACCATCACCAGGTGCGAGTGACTCTGCCATCAAAGAGCGCATCAGTGGCCACACGCCGTGCAGAGAGTCTCTTGCGCTCACACCATGAGTCAAAGCACCAACCTTAATCCCCCCCTCCGCACCTCACCCCACCGCCAGGTGCAAGTGAGCCTGCTGTCAGAGACCGGCCACACGGCACCTAGAGTGACTCTTGACCTCACAATGCCCACCAAGAATCCATCCCCCCTCACCCCACCAGGTGCTCGTGAGTCTATTTTTGAGGCGCCTCAAAGATCGACTCGTGCGGTCACACTGGCCACCAAGAATCCATCCCCCACCTCACCCCACCAGGTGCTCGTGAGTCTGGAGTCAGACAGTGCGTCAGTCACCACGACTCTGCGTCAGTCACCACGACGTGTTTACGGTGACTCTTGCTTCGACTCGCTGAGTAAACAACAGCAACCCCTTTTCCTCACCCCGCCAGGTGCTCGTGAGTCTGCTGTCGGAGAGTGCATCAGTCACCACCAGGCGCCGAGAGTAAATCCTGACTTGGCTGGATGATAGGAGTCTAGTTTTGAGGCGCCTCAAAGCTTGGCTGGATGCCAAACTCGTATAGACGAGTGCCTTCAATCTCAACTCTCCCTTCCCCCCTCACCCCGCCAGGTGCTCGTGAGTCTGCTGTCGGAGAGTGCATCAGTCACCACCAGGCGCCGAGAGTAAATCCTGACTTGGCTGGATGATAGGAGTCTAGTTTTGAGGCGCCTCAAAGCTTGGCTGGATGCCAAACTCGTATAGACGAGTGCCTTCAATCTCAACTCTCCCTTCCCCCCTCACCTCTGCCAGGTGCTCGTGAGTCTGCTGTCGGAGAGTGCATCAGTCACCACCAGGCGCCGAGAGTAAATCCTGACTTGGCTGGATGATAGGAGTCTAGTTTTGAGGCGCCTCAAAGCTTGGCTGGATGCCAAACTCGTATAGACGAGTGCCTTCAATCTCAACTCTCCCTTCCCCCCTCACCTCTGCCAGGTGCGCGTGAGTCTGCTGTCGGAGAGTGCATCAGTCACCACGCGGCGCTTGGCGCGGCACCGGGGCCGGGCGCACAAGCTGGCGGTGCTGGCAGACTCGCCCTTCTGCTTCCTCAGCTGTGGGGAAGATGGGTTGGTGCTGCATGTGAGTGGGCGGGTAGAAAAGAGGGGGGGTGGAGTGGAAGGGGGGGAGGGGAGGGTGGGTTGTGTGGCATGTGAGTGGTTAGGGGGAGTATGGGGTGGTGCGCCATGTGAGTGTGTGCAAGAATGGGTGGTGACGGGTGTTGAGCATCAGGGTGTGAGTTGTGTGGCATGCGCGTGCGTAGGGGTGAGTGGTGATGCCGCCTTTGTAGGGTTGCGTGGGGAGTGTCGGCATTTGAGCAAGTGTGTGAGTGTGTGTGTGTGTGTGTGTGTGTGTGTGTGTGTGTGTGTGTGTGTGTGTGTGTGTGTGTGTGAGTGAGTGTTAGAGTGAGTGTTTGAGTGAGTGTTTGAGTGAGTTTTTGAGTGAGTGTTTGAGTGAGTGTGTGAGTGGGGAGTGACTGAACCACTAGAGAGACGGCAGGGAAAGGGAATTCAGGGAAGTCTGTCTTATGTGGTGAACCTCGTGGCATGGCACGGCCCTTATGGCACGGCCATCATGGCACGGCCCTCATGGCACGGCCCTCATGGCACGGCCCTCATGGCACGGTCCTCAATGGCACGGCCCTTATGGTATGACTCTCATGTAACCAGTGTTAATGCACAGGGGTGATCTGACGCCCGTGGCATCGTATGAGCATGCAAGGAAGCACCATGTCAAGCCCCACACCCCTGATCTTACCTTTTCCCCCCATGTCCACCACCACCACCCACATTCCCACCTCTGTTTTTTTTAACCTGCAAGCGAATCGCACCAGTGCATGCAAGTCGGCTGTGCAGTCCCCCACAGACACACACTGTTGCTCAAACCCTCAACACCACCTCCTGAAATTTCCTCATGCTCTCCCTCCCCCTCCCTCCCCCTCGCCCCCCACCCCCTCCTTCCCTCCCCCTCCCTCCCCCTCGCTCCCCCTCGCCCCCCCCCCCCTCCTTCCCTCCCCTTCCCTCCCCCTCGCTCCCCCCCCCCCCTCCTTCCCTCCCCCTCCCTCCCCCTCCCTCCCCCTCCCTCCCCCTCCCTCCCCCTCCCTCCCCCTCCTTCCCCCTCTCTCCCCTCACTCTCCTCACTCCCCTCCAACCTCCCAACCTCAGTTTGACCTGCGAGCGCGTCACCCGAGCACGCGCGTCCTCACCGTGCACTGCGCGCACCGCATGCGCGCGGCTCAGCCGCTGGGGCTCAACGCTGTTGCTGCCAACCCCGCCCGCCCGCACCTCTTTGCTCTTGGGGGGGCGGATGAGTTCGCCCGAGTCTACGACTTGAGACGGTGGGTGTTTGATAGAGCTGGATGCTCGTGCTGGGTGCTAGAGCTGGGTGCTAGTGCTGCGTGCTGGTGCCGCGTGCTAGTGCCGCATGCTAGTGCTGGGTGCTAGTGCTGCGTGCTAGTGCCGCGTGCTAGTGCCGCGTGCTAGTGCTGGGTGCTAGTGCTGCGTGCTAGTGCTGCGTGCTAGTGCCGCATGCTAGTGCTGGGTGCTAGCATTGGGTGCATGCGCAGTGGGTGCATGTGTGTGGTGGTCTTTGTGTGTTCTGGGAGTGCTTGCTTGCAGCTACAGCAGGACGTGTACTAACGAGTATGCAGGGGCTACATTAAAACCCGCGGCCCAAATTGCGAGGCGCGACCTTCAAACGCACTGCGTTTGAAAGTCGCGTTTTCGTGGGTGTAGATGGGGGTAACGTGACTCGCGTCACTCGGGGGTGGCTTTCAAGTTCAGTGCGGAACGTATTTTGGGACACCAAGTGCCTCGCGTTTTTTGGCCGTCCATTATTTGTCGATTTCCATCTGACGGTGCGCAAGTAAAGTGCTTCCCCCAGTCAATCGAAATGTAATCTCAGCCGTCGCACTGCGTGCTTGCAAATCGGACGGTCTACGACAAATTGCGAATTCGCGAGATGAAACACCCTCACGATTTTTCTGCGTATTTCGTCCAGGCTGAGGCTCACAGTTCATACATACGCATTGCGTATGAACAATTTGGGCCGCGGGTTTTAACAGCTAATGGATGAATCTACATGAGGTCTCTTTTTTCCTCCTTCCCCTCCTCCCTCTTTCCATGACCCACTCTTTCTCTCTCACAAGGAAACATGCACGTCCGTTTTCAACAGCCTCTTGATACAAACGACCTGATGCACCCTGTTCAATTTGTCCCTATCCCACTGCCTTGCTCCTTCCCCGGGTCCCATCGCACTCTCCCTCTCCCCCCCGCCCCCCCCCCCTTCCCTGCCTTTCAGTTGCATGGCTCCCCCCCCCCTCTTTCATCTTGTGGATGTGGTAACCTGCAAAGTGCGACTTCTGCGCCCTGCTCCCTGCCCCCTCAGGTGCATGGCCCGAGCGCCCTCTCCTGCCCCTGACTCCCGCGCCTTTCCCGTGGAGACGTTTGCCCCGCCGCACCTTGTCAAGACCAATCGCGATCGCCTGCGCCCACCTGTGAGCCCTCCTGCCAGCCGAGGTGCTAGAGGTGCTCGCGGTGCTCGAGGTGCTAGAGGTTTTAGAGGTGCTAGAGATACCTCTCTTGTTTTTCTCTCCTTCACATCGCATCTCGACTTCTCTCTTCTTTCCATTCTTCCCACCCCCTCCTCTCATCTCTCCTCTCCCCCCCCCTCCCCTCACCTCTGCTCCTCTCCGCTCCCCAGGTACACATCACCTGTGTCGCGTATTCCCCCCACGACGAGCTACTAGCCTCGTACAACGACGAGCTGATCTACCTATATCACCCGCACCACTCCCTAGGCCCCGACCCCCTCTCCCTGCCCGCTGCTAGGCGCAGCAGGGGCTTCCAGGTTTTGAGTAGCGCTAGCAGCGGTGGCACCGGCGGGAGCAAGAGCAAGGGCAGTGGCAGGAGGCGCGTAATGGGTAGCAGTGAGGGCGATTGGGGTGTTTGGGACAGGAGCAGCAGAGGGGAAAGCAGCAGCAGCGGGGATGGGAGGTTGGACGGTGGTGGGGTAGGTGGCGGTGGTGGTGGTAATGGTGATGGTGGTGGTGCTGCTGCTGCTCCTGCTGCTCCTGGCGATGGTTCAACTGCCATTACTCATCGTCGCCTTACGTGGCTGCAACGCACCTTTCACTCTCCTTCAGCGGGTGGTTCCGCCACTGCTGCCGCTACTCCATCTGGTGCTGCCGGTGCTGCTGCTAATGCTAGTGCTTCTGGTAATGCTGCTGCTGTTGGTGAGACTGCCGGCAGGGACGGAAGGGGGGAGGGGGGAGGGCGGTGCAGCAAAGAACAGGAGGATGGAGGAGCGAGAGATATGGAGGATGAGAGGAGAAGAGAAGAGGGAGAAACTGCAGTAGAGGTTCCAGAAAGGTCTAGTAGAGGTAGGTCTGGTGAAGGCAGGTCCGGTGAAGGCAGGTCCGGTGAAGGCACGTCCGGTGAAGAGAGATACAGAATGGAAGTAGATGCAATAGGATATGTGTCAGGAATGATGCGGGGAAGCAGAGATGGTGCTAGGGGGGTTGATGAAAGAGGGAGTGAGAGGGGTGGTAGAGGGGATGACAGGGGAGAAGGGGAGGAGCAGATGGAGGAGGTGGGGAATGAGGTGGAGAGGGACGAGGGGGAGAGGAGGGATGAGGGGGAGAGGAGGGAAGAGGGGGGTTGCAGTGAGGAGGAGAGGGGCGATGGGAAGAAAGGGGACGATAGGGTGCCGGAGAAACATGTAAGGTTGGGGTACGGGCAGGTGGGTAGGGAGGGGCAGGAAGCAGAGCAGGGGGGGGAGCAGGAAGAGGAGGAGGAGGATGAGGAAGGAGTGATAGCGTACGGGGACAGGATAGAGGTGTATTCGGGGCACCGCAATGAGAAGACGGTGAAGGGAGTGGCCTTCTTTGGGCTGCGCTGCGAGTACGTGGTCAGCGGGTCCGACTGCGGCCATGTGTTTGTGTGGAGGAAGGTCGGCGGGAGACTCGTGGCCATGATGCCGGGGGACGCACATGTGAGTCGTACACAGTGAACTGCGTGATTTGTCCAATGCTGCTGCTGCTATGTACTGTATGAGTGCACATGATACTTCCACCTCCTCTCTAGACATCCCTGCAACACCACTCTCTACGCCTCGTTTTTCCATCCTAACCAACTTATCTCTCTCCTTGCTGCACCGTCCTCCGTATTCCATCCCCACACCTCCCCCCTCCCACCTTCCCTCCTGGCATTCCTCCCTCCCGCTCCCCTCATGGTCCCATCCTGTCAGGTGGTCAACTGCCTAGAGCCCCACCCATCAGCCACCATTCTGGCCACCAGTGGCATCGAATCAACGGTCAAGATCTGGGCTCCCACGGCCCAGGCCCCCAAGGGCCTGCCGTCCAACGCGCAGCGGATAATGGAGTCGAACAAGCGGCGACGCGAGCAGCCCTTTGGCGTGCCGCGGATGGCGGCAGATGTGGAGGTCCCAAGGCTGCGCCTGCAGCGGCAGCACGGGCAGCTCATGGGGCAGGACCGAGTGGCGACGTTTGGAAGCTTGCTGTCGCTTGCTGCTGCTGTGGGAAGGAGAAGAGAGGGGAGGGGGAGGGAGAGGGAGCGAGTTGGGGGGGGGTGGGGAGGGGGAGGGGGAGCGGAGATTGGAAGGGGCGGACGAGGGGAGGGAAGGGGGGAGTGGGAGGAGTAGGAGGAGGGTTGTTGGTAACGGTGGTGGTGGTGGCGGTGGTGATGGGAATGATGGCGGTATTGGCAATGGTGCGAGGAATGGTGGTGGTAGTGACACAGAGCCTTCAGCTGCTGAGGATGGTGGGGCAGAAGGGAGCTTGAGAGAGGCACTCATTGCAGGACTTGGTGAACGGGCAGGCATTCGCGACTTGTTTCCGTTTGAGGAGGATTATAGCGAGGATGAGAGTGAGGAGTTAGAGGAGGGAGAGGTGAGGGAGGGGGAGGACGATGAGGACGAGGATGATCGAGGCGGAGGGCATAGGTGGTCTAGGGCAGGACGGCCGGAGTGTAGAGTGAGTTAGCTGTAGGATGCATGTGTGTACAGGGTTGACGGACTTTGGTGAGGGCAAAACATCCTTTGTTGTCTACCCATTTTTTTTGTTTTGAAGACGATGCAAATACAAAATGTGTAGGCGACATAAAAATATCTATTCATTTTGTAACAAAGTATGTTTTAGGACCCTGAGTTCGTCAAGGGCCTGTTTACTCTCAGATGTGGATCATGCTTTCTCAGAGCAGGAACCCTTGATCCCTCATCTCGCCTGCCCCATGCCTCGACACCACCGAACTACTCTAGACCTCGAAGGATGCCACGAAAACAGAGCCATCTGAAATGTGTGCTTGTTACTAGTGCTCTGCCACACCACCATTTCTGCTCCGAAGAGTCGAGCAGATAACATTCCTCCTTGCCAGCGCCGCTTTGCGCGATTATCACGTGCTTCCGGCCTCTCGCGATGTCGGCTGCGCGGCTCACCCCGAAGCAAGCGCGCACGCTCATGGCGGCGTGCATGGCGGCGCCGGTGGTAGTCTTCGCGGTGCGGCTCGCTCTCACAGACGACGTGCGCGATCCGCTGCGCATGTACCGCCAATTAGAATCCGCCTCCGCTGGCGCTGACGCGGGCACTTCGACTGCTAGCGCTGCGCACAGTCTAGAAGGAGGAGCGGGCGGAAGCGGAGGGGCAGGAAGAGGGTAGAAGGGGGGATTTGCCGTAAGGGCTCACCCAACGATCACGGTGGTGGGTTGGCAACGAGCTTCGCTCGGCGCACGGCTCAAGGTATCCGCCCGCAGCCCCGTTGCAGCCCATCCGCAGCAAATCTGCAGCCAACCTGCAGCCGCTAGATAGAGTCGAACAGTGGGCCATGGACGGCAGATGCTGGTTGATAAGAGGAACCGTTTGTAGGAGGTAAGAGGAGCTATTGAAGGGGGGATTTATGTGGACACAACGTCTTGGGTGATGGGAAAAGGTGGACTATGCAAGCAGGGTGCGTGCGAGAATGGGCGATCACCTTTCTGCTGAGCTAGGGAAGCAGCCGCTAAAGAGAAAGTCGTGATGGCAGGAGAGGAGACGATCTAGAGACATCTCTGGAGAAGCTGCCTGATTAGCAGGTGCTGATGAAGCAGAAGCTTGTTGCTTAGCCTGGATCACAGTTGTGCTGCTGTCTTGGATAATCCATGGAATCTGTGGCCACTGTTAGGGGTTTCAGTAGTTTAGCTCCCTGAACAACCAGTACTAATTGGTACGATTCATTTTCGCCTTTTTTTCTGTTACCCAATTGAGAGCATCAATGTAAATGGATGTGTCCCGTGCCTGTGCCTCGGTGTGAAGAAAAGGTTTCGGGCACGTAGTCGCTTGCTTTTTGACGTAAAATGCTTCCCCATCTATCAAGAGTATACACAGCTTGTTGGTATTTCCAACACAGCTCTCATTCAAATGGGATAATAAGAAATATATAGAGGGAGAACTTTGTAGTTTGACTACATTGTCCGTGACCATATTGCATTATTGAGGATGCCGTTTGGTGACCAGTCTGCGCGCCAACAATTCGCGACGCGACGTTCAAATCCAAAGCACCCGCGTCGCGTCACAGGCTTCAGGGCCCAATTCCCAGATTCATCAAACAATTTCGCGCTTCGATTTGACCAATCCAATCGCTCGGTTCGTTCAGCCGCCGACATGCATCTCCCTTCCTCTCCTGTCCGTCTGTTCAGCCTCAATCAAGTTGACCACTGAACGGGCTTTGCCCTTCCCCACAATTCCGTTGGTATGCTTGCAGTTGCTGAGTCGTCCGCTGCAAGTCTGCCCGTCTCACCCGACTCAGTGTAAGGGTTTCGGTTTAGAACGAGTGTCGGCGCGCGCCAGTCAGTCACACAGCCCGTGGTAGTGGATCGCAAAGCATCCCATCGCAAAGCCTCTTGTCGCACACCAACGCCACTCTGTGAACCTCGCACCCTTGTTCAGCACCGACCGACCGACCGACCGACCTAGTAGCCAACGAGTAGGCCGACTTGCATCCACTGTAGCGACTCGTTCGATTAAGATAAAACTCTCCCTCGGTTCGGCTCGTTGATCTCGAGGGTCTCCTACCTCAGCGATTGTGAGACGCGAAGTCGCTATTTAACTTGGCCAGTGCGTCGTTCTCTGTACAGTAAGAGCTTTAGCTGTCACCATCAGGATAGCGCAAGCACTGATAGCGGAAGCACTGATAGTGGAAGCACTAACGTTCCTTACTCCTACGTCCTTTCCCCTTCAAGCTATCATCTTAGACCATCATTTCTTCGTCTGTCGATAGTAGGACTACAACTAGCGCGCGGCTTCGTTCGCTCGCGGTGGGAGCTCAACGACGACCGCTCCAGCTCTTGAAGGAAAATAGGCTACACTATCGACGCAAGGAAGCTGGCTAGCCGGCAGGAGTTCCATCGAGGCTCTAAGAAGATGGCCCTTCGTCGGGCTGTTTCGCTCTGGTCGCATACAAGCTTGGCGCCGCTGCTCGTCACAATAACCATGGCACTATTCGCCATGCTCGTCGCCGCGCCTGTCGCAGTGAGCGCTGGCCCGGTCTGCGACTACGCGAACGGAACGTGAGTGCAACGAATGCACCAGTCCCTTCAAGCCCTTCTTCAAGCATCGACTTCTCTTCATTCCTTTCAACCTTTCCATCTGAGCCTCCCTCCGCTCCTTACGGACTCCTAAACGGACATTCTCGTCTCTCTTCCTCCTCCACTCCCATAATCTCCACTCACTTCGTGGACCTCCCTCGTTCTTCTTCCGTTCACCTCACTTCGCGTCCCCTGATCTCATCTCGTCTCGTTCCTTCTCCTCTCGACCCGTTCCTCTCGTCTCGTCTCGTCTCCCCCTTCTTCCCCGCAGATGGGTGCGCGCGGAGGGCTATGCGGCGCAGTACACGGGCAAGTCGTGCTCGTACGCGGGGAAGACGCGCAACTGCGAGAAGAACGGGCAGACCAGCTTCGACTACCGCAACTACAAATGGGTGCCTGGCCAGCCGGAATGCGCGCTCTCCAGGTGAGGAGTGCGCTCTCCAGGTGAGGAGTGCGCTCTCCAGGTGAGGAGTGCGCTCTCCAGGTGAGGAGTGCGCTCTCCAGGTGAGGAGTGCGCCCTCCAGGTGAGGAGTGCGCCCTCCAGGTGAGGAGGGAGGGGTGGGTAGGGACGTTCGAAGATAGAGGAGCGAGAGAACTACGAAGGCTGAAGCTGGGAGGAAGAGTGCAGACTACGAGCCTCTCCTGCGACGCATTGCCTTCAAGTACGCTTAGAGCTCGTACCATCCGTGCCTTCCCCCTCCCACCCGCCCCAAATTCCCGTTCCGATATGTTGGAGGCCTCGTTTTGTCCCCAAGTGGCTTCCCCATTTCATTCCGTTCTCTCTCCCCGTTCCTCCTGTCCCTTCGCCCGTCGCCCGTCGCCCGTCGCCCGTCGCCCGTCGCCCGTCGCCCGTCGCCCGTCGTTACCCGCAGGTTCGACGCGGCGGCGTTCCTGTCGCTGCTGCGCGGCAAGGTGGTGGCCATGGCGGGCGACTCCATGATCAACAACTTCTTCGAGGCGCTCCGATGCCTCGTCAGCGCCGCCACGCCCGCTCCGGTGCGTGCTCCTGGTCTCGCCTCGCCCGCTACAGCTCTTCACGACCCTACTCATATGCCACTTCACAGCTCGTACTCTCGTGACTCATATGGCTCTTCCGCTCTCAGATTTTCCACATCACCATCACCATCACCACAGCACATAATCGCGTTTTCCAACCCGCTCTTGCTCTCCCTTCCCGCCCTTGCCGCTGTCCTTCAATTTCTTACCCAATGACCACGACCCCAACCTTCCCTTCCTGCCGTTACCCCGCCCCTCTCCTCCGTATGACAGGACTGGGAGGGAACCTTCCCGGGAGCTTCAAGCAAGTACGAGGGTTTCGAGGTGCCCAAGTACGGGTCTAAGTTCATTCGCATCCAGGACCCGTTCCTCGTTGACTCCAAGCCGGAGGTATGTCTTGGAAACAGCTCTGATCCCATTGATAACGTGTGTGGATTGGTGACAAGCTACTAGTTTATTGGCTCTTTCTGGGAGGCTCAGGAGGCGTTTATGTATGCCAACGCTTTGTGTCATACCGATTCTGTGTCTGTGTACTTCACCATCATCACCATCACCATCACCACCATCACCATCGTCATCACCATCACCATCACCATCACCATCACCATCGTCATCACCATCATCATCACCATCACCATCACCATCGTCATCACCATCACCATCACCATCGTCATCACCATCATCATCACCATCACCATCACCATCGTCATCACCATCACCATCACCACCACCATCAGGGCCAGTCTGACAGTTCAAGTGCGACGTGGACCATCAACCTGGATAAGCCGTCCCCCCAGTGGGCGCCTCTGCTCAAGTCAGCAGACGTGCTCGTGTTCGCCCACGGTCACTGGTTCGACAACGTAAGGCTGCTCGGGGTGGTGGTGGGGGTACCTGCTCTCACCTCCTTGGCTAGTACCTGCCATTGCCTTAGACTGCTGCGTTGCGGGTAGCTCGAGGGGTCGTGGTTGACAGCTGCATTGTAGGTCAAGTCGGCGAGCATGCTGGTGTTCGCCCACGCATCCTTACCTCTCCTGTAACACCCATCTCTCATTCCCCAACCCCCCCCCTTCTTCCCCCATCTCCCACGCCCCCGCCCCTCCCCAGGCCCCTGCCAGCAAGCGCCTGCTCTACCGCAAGGGCCAACCAGTACAAGCGGATCAGTTCGAAGCGGCGCGCCTCTCCCTCATCACAGTCGCAGATTACATCACCAAGAGCAGCTACAAGGGGCAGGTGTTCTACCTCACCTACTCCCCCCGGCACTACAGCTCGGCCTTCAAGACCAAGGGCATGGGGTGCGCGAAAGCCACCGCACCTTTCACCCTGTCGGAAGGGGAATACGCGATGGGGAAGTCCAAGGAGGCTCCGTATCTGACTGCGCAAAAGGCGGCTTTAAAGCCGTACCCGATCGTGCAGGTGCTGGATATTTTCCGCATGGCGCTGCTGAGGCCCGACGCGCACGTGGGCCCGTGGGATGGGAAGGCCGGGAATGGCGATGACTGCTCGCACTGGTGCGAACCAGGGATGCCTGACATCTGGGCGGATCTGCTGTTTAATGAGCTGAGGAGCGGGGGAGGAGGAGGAGGAGCAGGGGGCGCGGGGGGTGGAGAGGTGGTTCCGCAGGCCAAGAGCGGCAGCAGCAGCACCAACAGCAAGTCCAAGCCCAAGTCATCCTCCTCTTCCTCCTCTTCCTCCTCCTCCTCTTCCTCCTCTTCCTCTTCCTCTTCCTCATCCTCAGCTTCAAAAAAGGTCTCTTCTTCCAAGTCCCCTCCTCCACCTCCCCCTTCTCCTCCTCCCAAGTCCTCCTCTCCTGCTAGCAGCAATTCCAGCAGCACGAAAGGCGATAAAGGGCTGAAGAAGACCAAGAGCAGTGCGCATGCTGTGACCAGGACCAAGAGCAGTGCAGTCAGCGTGAAAACTAGGGAGAGCACCGGCGTGAAGTCCGGGGACAGCAAGGGCTTGAAGACAAGCAAGCAGTCGAGCAAGTCGGGCAAGGGGAGTAGGGGAAGCAAGGGAAGTAAGGGGACAAAGCAGTCGAGCAGGTCCAGCAGTAAGAAAAGATGAGGGGATAAGGGTGGCCTTGGAAGTGCTTTCCGATGCCGAGAGATACACTCTTAACCGGATGAGTGTGTGTGTTGCCTTTTCAGGTGCTGTAGCCATATGCTTGACAGAAGTAGCAGAATAAGATGGAGGTCAATAGCTCAATAGTCACGGAATAAAGATGATTGGTCTATTCAGTTGCCTGTCTATAATGGTGATACATGGGAATGTGTCTGGTCTAGAGTGTTCCTATAAGTTGGTATAAGTTGGTTCACATCGAAGGGCAGTCAGTGCAGCAGCCACAGCTGCAGCTGCAACCGCTGCTTCCTTTAACTGGCAGCCTAGCCTATTTCTGAGCTTCCTTTGAAGGCTCAAGCAGGCCTGTCTCCTCATCGGTTTGTTGCGCCTGCTTCTTGGCTGCCTCTTTAGCACTCATCTCCTGTGAACACAAGTGGAAGGGGAAAGAAACAGAGGACGGGGGAGGTTACATGTGAGCTCAACCGCGGATCCTGCACCGAGTGTGAAGAGACCTTCTCTCCTAGGGACAAAGAAATTTCTCCCCCCTAGACTGACGGATGTGCGTGGAAAAAAGTGCCGGCTTGTTCCCTGATCCGATCATAGTAGAGATTCTTAATACGAGAGGTTCTTCCCATCGTTCCCTGCATACCTGCATCTTGACGTGGTTGTACCAGCACACGCCCGCGAACGCCAGCAGGTACCCGAGCAGGTTGAACGTGGTGATCTTATCCGCGATGACGGACCACGAGAAGGCGATGAGCAGCCAGTCCTTGATGATCCCCGCCACGTTCATCGTCAGCGCCGACGTCTTCCCGATGAGCAGGAACACCGCGAGGTTCAGCGCAAACGCGCACACGCAGTTGGCGCCAAAGACGAGGATGCTTGGGTGCGCGCCGGCAGCCATGGCGGGGACGAGCCTGGGGAACTCGACGAGGAACCAGGGAACGGAGAGGAAGAGGAGGCAGACGGGGGATATGTAGTAGAGGCTGGTGATGGGGTTGAGCGAGATCCCCTTGGATGTGAGGAGAATCTGGATGAGCACCAGGCGCGTCGCCTCGAACGCGACGGCGGCTAGTTGTAGCAGCACGCCCGTGGCGTTGAAGTTGGCCTCGCTCCACGCGCTCACGGCGACGCCGACGGAGATGAGGAGCATGTTGGAGAAGGTGGCAGTGCGGAAGGCGTCCCGGCGGAAGGCAACGCCGAGCAGGTAGACGGCCACGGGCATGAGCGCCTTGAGCATCTGGATGGGGGAGAGGGAGAGGAAGAGGGAGAGGGGGATGGAGATGGAGATGGAGAGGTAGATGGGAGTGAGGGTACGCCGAGTTGGAGAACCAGAGCGGCAAAAGCAGGGAAGTAGAGCGCGCCGATGGGACAATTGACAACCCCAGACGACGAGTGACAATTGACACACCCTTTCGGACAAGCGGCAAGTCGGCTATCCTAGTTTCACACACCTGGATGAAGGAGACGGAGAGGTAGATGTAGGCCGAGTTGGAGAACCAGAGGCTGAGCGCGTACAGCGCGCCAATGGGCACGACGCACGTGAAGTACGTCTCGGGCTTGAGCCCACCCGGCAGTGGCGGCACCACGCGGAAGACGTTCACGAGGAGGAAGGCGAGCGAGGAGCAGAAGGCCATGTGGATCATGGTCAGGCTGTAGCAAGGGGGGGGGGGGTGGGGGGAGGGAGGGAGGGGGGAGATGGCGCGGAGGAGAAAAAGGTGAGGATAAGCGAAGGTGGGCCTGTGTATTAATACGACGAGCAGGAACACGAGCGAGGAGCAGAACGCCATGTGGATCATGGTTAGGCTAAGGGGAGGAGGGGAGGAGGGGAGGAGGGGGAGGTGAGCGGGAGAGCGGGTGGAGGAGAAGAGGCGATTAGGATTTTGGCGAGGAGAGCAGCGATTATATCGATCGAAGCGGCTGATTTTCGAGGCGGTAGGGCTCGGCGGAAGAGGCGGCTGTCAGAGGGGAAGCTGAGCCACAGCTGCACACGTGGGCCATCTAGTAGGTGCAAACCGTGAATGCGTAGGCTGAGTACAACGCAGCTGCGTCATGACCCAATGACCCAATCGAGTCGATTGTGCCTCTACCAATAGTAGAGGCCCGTCACAGTAGTAGTGAAATGTACCATGAACCCCACGCAGCGCAGGCCACCTCGTTCGAGGCCCCGCCCAACGTCGTCACAGCGTTGAAAGCAACATTCTTGGGTCAGCCGCGAGCTCACCTGATGGGGAACGGCCAGTTGAGCAGTCTCCGGTCGAGGATGTACTTGTTGAATATGATAACGGAGGAGCTTAAGGCGATCCACAGCACCACACTGCCTGCCATTATCGCTCTCTTCGTCAGAAAGCTCTGCTGCGCCGCGGGCTGCGGCGGGCTGCTCGGCGCGGTCGACATGGCGACGCGGTGGCGGTAGCAGGTGGAGTAAGAGGATAGGGACTCCCTCGGAGAAGGTTGGGGGATCTGGAAAGACTGCGAGTGACTTGCGTGAATCTGTGCTGGATTTTCACACTCAATCGATGGCGGGAATCAAGCGTATGGACCTTTGCCAGTGACTGGCAGGAACGGGGTACTACTACCCGTGACGGAAAACGTTCCGCGTGACGGAGGGAACGGTTAGATCAAAATGGAGGCGGCTAAGTAAATAAGTGGAAGAGGAGCGCCAGCTATCCACAAAAACGTGTTGCCGTTCTCGAGGTGAACCTCTCGACTTGAAGACGGATGAGAGAATAAGCTGAACTGTGCTGACTACGACAGGCGAGGGCTGGAGTTATTTGTATTTCCAGGGTCACATCAAAGCCGCATTTGTGTGGTTGGTTGTGGCTGTGAGCGAGGGGGAGAGCGAGTTTCGGTTCGGTGGGGCTAGGAGGAGCGGGGGACAAATTGGAGGCAAGGCGGCAAGCGGGAGGCGAGGCGAGGCGAGGAGGAGCGGAGCGGATGCGGATGACGGGATTGGCTGGCGACGTAGCACGCGGTTGAGCTGCGGGCCCATGTCGCGTCGCGAGCTACTCGTCAATCACCGTTGTCCAACCAGCAGCTGCCTCCGGAACAAACAAAACTGCACAGGAATGCAGGAGTAAGCCTTATAGAGTAGCTCGATGACAGAGACACCAACATGATGTTAAAAAAGGCTGCAAATATACCCTTTGTGATAGAAAAATTAATATATGCTTAAACGAACATAAATGAGACATACTTGAAAGACTGGGAGGAAAGAAAATGATATGCACATTTGATACGGGCCAATAAATTATGTGGGCCAATACAATGATTCCAAAATATAGTGCAACGTAATATGTTGAAGTGATTGAATTGAAACACGTCTCTATTTGTGCGTCATTCTACGAGAACGAGAAAATATGCACATGTAATGTTAGTGGCATTATCTGTCAAACATGTGTATTTGTCATGTTTGTATAGACTGTATAGGGTAGCCTCTTAGAGGGTACAACACTTAGGTATATCTGTGTGTACCCTCTCTCTAACATTATTCACTTCTTCAATTTTTGATATGGTATCACGCGTAGGTAGGATCCCCCCCCCCCCACCTACCGCTTCCGCTCGCCCCCCCCTAGCCCCGTCGCGACCCCCCCTAGCCCCGTCGCGCCCCTTCCTGGGACCCGTCGCGCCCCTCTCTGGGCCCCGTAGCGCCCCTTCCCGGGCCCCGTCGCGCCCCTCCCAGGCCCCGTCGCGCCCCTCCTGGGCCCCGTAGCGCCCCTCCTGGGCCCCGTCGCGCTCCTCCTAGGCCCCGTAACGCCCCTCCTGGGCCTCGTCGCGCCCCTCCTGGGCTCCGTAGCGCCCCTCCTGGGCCCCGTCGCGCCCCTCCTGGGCCCCGTAGCGCCCCTCCTAGGCCCCGTAACGCCCCTCCTGGGCCCCGTCGCGCCCCTCCCAGGCCCCGTAGCGCCCCTCCTGGGTACCGTCGCGCCCCTCCCAGGCCCCGTAGCGCCCCTCCTGGGCCCCGTCGCGCCCCTCCCAGGCCCCGTAGCGCCCCTCCTGGGCCCCGTCGCGCCCCTCCCAGGCCCCGTCGCGCCCCTCCTGGGCCCCGTCGCGCTCCTCCCAGGCCCTGTAGCGCCCCTCCTGGGCCCCGTCGCGCCCCTCCTGGGCCCCTGCAGCGCCCCTCCTGGGCCCCCCGTCGCGCTCGCCCGGCCCCGTCGCACCAGCCCGGCCCCGTCCTGCTCGCCCGGCCCCGTCGCACCAGCCCGGCCTCGTCGCGCCCGCCCGGCCCCGTCGCACCGGCCCGGCCCTGTCGCCCCCGCCGGGCCTCGTCGCCCCTGCCCGGCCCCGTCGCGCTCGCCCGGCCCCGTCGCCCCGGCCCGGCCCTGTCGCACCAGCCCGGCCCCGTCGCGCCCGCCCGGCCCCGTCGCGCCCGCCCGGCCCCGTCGTCCTCGCCCGGCCCGGTCGCACCTGCCCGGCCCCGCTGCCCCGGCCCTGTCCTCCTCACTAGTACGGTTCCCCCCTACCCCGCCCTGCACCGTACCGCCACGCACCACACTATACTACCTTACACCGCACTGCATCGCACTGCACCGCGCTGCACCGCACTGTACTGCACTGCACCGTACTGCACCGCACTGTACCGCACTGCACTGCACTGCACCGCCCTGCACCGCACTGGACTGTTCCTGATGGCGGCGGAGCTTCGCTTCGACGCTGAAGGTCAGCCCCTAGAGTTCGAGGCGTGGCTTGCCGACCTCCGCCGCCAGCTCACTGGCCAGCGGCAGGATGGTGAACCGCTTTCCGCACACCTTGACGGTACGCTCCCCTGCCCAGACCCCCCTGCTATTCTGCCCGCTGACCCCACACCCACTGAGCGTGAGTCTACTGCTGCCACTGCCCGTGCGCGCTCTGTCTGGCTTTCTCGCGATGCTGTCGCCCAGCTTGCCATTAGCAACGCCCTCCCCCTGTCCGAGCGTCCTCGCTTTAGGTCCCTCACTACTGCTCAGGCATACTTAGATGCTGTGATCAAGCGCTATTCCACCCCTCCAGCTGCCTCGGTGGGTCGCCTGATCCTCCCGATGCTCTTTCCTGACCTTGCATCTTTCCCCACTGTCTCTGACCTCGCTGCCCACCTGCGCTCCATAGAGGAGACCTGACGCGCCGCCTGCACTGACGCACAACTTAGAGCCCACCAGCCGCCCATTACCTCTACCCTCTACCTGCTTGCCACCCGCCTTGTGAGAGTACGATCCCGTTACACCACTTGGCCTTTTCTTATTTTCTTCCCTTTTCATTTCTCGTTTTACCGCATCTCATTTGGTTTCCTATTTTCCATTTTCCATTATCCTTTGGTCTCTTCCTTTATTATAATTATATCACCGACCAGGCATGGAATGTACTAGAGACGTTATCCAGCGTAATCCTGCCGTAATCCCTTAAAGCCAATAGCCTCACGTGGCTATACGCAGGGTGATTCTATCTTCTAGAAGGGTCTATTCCCTTAGGATAAGATAAACCTGGTTACCTGATGTACTCTGGAAGTATAAAAGCGCCTTGTACTGATCGATAGTGCAACCTTTCCTCGACACATTCGATCCTGTGACACTTGGTAATCAGAGCTTTTCTCACTCGGCCGCGCTCAGCTAAGCAGCAGCAGCGGGGATCCTGCCTCGAAAAACCGCCGGGGGCGACCAATTCGACGCCGATTCTGGTAAGCACCAGCTCCGCGATTTTCGAATTACCCCCTCCGTGCGTGTTTTGAACAGGATGGCAACCTTCGACAAAGCCGAGGTTACCCAGCAGCTCTTCGCGCGCATCGCAGCCCTTCAGGAGGAAATGCGAGCGGATCGCGAAGCGTGGCGAAACCAGTTCGAGCGAGTAACTCGACTCGCCGGAGCGCAGCACGAGACGACAACGGCGACGACGCAGCAGTCGCAGCAGTTTCTCGAGGCTCCGAAACCGCGCCCACCTGAGCCGTTCGATCCGAGCGATCGAAACTCCGACGCCCGCAGATGGATCGCCGGGATGGAGATCTACTTCGCAGCCGTCGGATGGAGCTCGCCAGTCTGGGACGGTCAACGTGTACGACTCGCGGCGACACTGATGCGAGGGCCGACACTCGAGTGGATTGGCGGCAACAGTACTTTCATCCACGGTGAAGCCACGTGGCAGCAGTTCCGCGCCGACCTGCTGAAACGCTTCGAACCGATAAATTCGAGTTTCCTTGCCCGGGAAAAAATTCATCGCCATCGACAGTTCGGGAGTGTAGCACAGTACACGCAGCAGATGGAAGAATTTTATAACAGAATTCCCGACCTGACCGAAGGGGAAAAAGTGCAATCGTACCTCGCAGGGCTGAAGACTGAAGTCAAACGACAGGTGGCAGCGTCAAACTACGCGAGCTACAGTGACGTCGTTTCGGCCGCGGAGCGCTTCGACATGGTCAACGTCGGAACACGACGGACGCACGTCGGCAGTACGCGACAGGGCGACCGCTCGGCTCACACCACGTTCGCCGACCCGATGGAAGTCGATAGATTCGAGGGGCGGCCACGTCCGAAAAACACCAACTACACGTGTGATTTTTGCGGGGTGCCGGGCCACCGAATCTTCGACTGCAACAAAATGAAGGCCGCACGCGCCGAGTATCGGGCACGCAACAGTGGCGGAAATCTTTCGGCCAATCAGAAGACAAAAAACGGGAGTCGCCAGTGATTGCGGATCTAGCTGGCGAAAATAAAAAGATCCGAAAGCGGCCGCGGGATTCCGGAAAAATCAACTTCGACGAAGCTGATTCGACGCGAGAAGGAGGAAATGATGGGGGAAAATCTCCACCCCACGACCAGTCTTCGCCAGGGAAAATCGCAAAAGAAAAATACGACTCCGCGAAAAAAGACTCTGCCGAGACAGGGAAACTCCTTGAAGACCCAAGAAATTATAAGAATTCGTTAAAGTTATCTTATAAAGATGCTTTAATGAAAACTTATGATGTTCGAGGGGCTAGAGCCTTGGAGAAAATTCGGGAGGGACTCCAAAAGGAGCAGACAGCTGTGGAGATTATACCGGTACCGGACAACTTGGGGACCAAATTAAGGAGTGTGGAAAGAAGCCGACCTTTCCACGGAGTCAACGTCCTCTCCCGACACCAGCCCACAACGACTACCCGCTCCCCAGGGAAGACGTCGGTGGAGCTGAAGCAGCTCAAGAGGAAGCTGGGGGTCTACAAGAAGCTGCACAAACCCCGAACTCCTTCTACGGATGCATCCAGTTCTTCGGCATCAGTGACGCGCAGAGTCGTCAAAGAAACTCCGGGCCCTGGAGAAGATCCGTTCTCCAAGCAGCCTTGGCCAGCTGCCAGCTCAGGAGTAGACTACAACACAAAGGTGTGTACGGAATATTGGGATGTACCCTATGACCCAATCAATGAAACTATCTTTGGGTACTCCGAGCAACGACTGCCCCTCGTGCTCGAGGTCATCTGCAAAGGACGACGCCTCCAAGCACTCGTGGACAGCGGAGCGTCACACACCGTCTGCGACAAGGCAATGATCGACCGAATTCGGGAAGAGTACAAGCCTTCAGGATTCTCTGCAACGATGGTGGACGGCAGCAAGTTACCAGTACACGGCGAAGCAGTGCTACATCTACAAATCGGACCACTGCGCTGGAGACCTGCACTCCCCATCACCAACATCAAAGGGCTTGACTTGATCTTCGGGCGAGACTTCCTGAAAAAATTCAACCCCGAGATCAACTGGGTGAACCGCACCGCAAGCATCTACAACAATGGACGGAGAGTA